TAGCTTTATTCGTCGACCTTTTCTCTGTCTTTTTGGTTTTATCATCTACATATCGCTTGACACTATCGCTACATTTTTCTATATTTCTATTTTCCCCATTAATCTCAATTTTCTCATCAATGTGATGGCGTTTAGCCTTTTTTCGTACATGAGAAGATTTGTTATCGTCTTCCTTGAATAGATCGACATTTTTATCAGACTCATCATTTGAAGAATCGCGCGTCGTACGTTTGCCGGTAGCTTTTTTGTGTGAATGTGAAGAACTTTCAGCTTGTTCCCTATGATGCTTGTGTTTGTGCTTATGCTTTTTCATAGTAGGGGGTGAGTCTAAGTTGAATTTTAGCTTCAGGACCATCTTGTTTGAGTTAGTTGTCGAAGATTTAGATGTGTCTATTTTCGTATTGCCAGTCTCTCCAACGTTAATATTTAGTGTGGAATCATTAATATCCTTTACAGTATCCTGTTCATAATCATAATGATCCACCACTGCATCACGCATCTCTATGTCGAATTCACTTCCTTCCAGTGCATCTTCAGAAACTTCTGAACGCTTCGATTTTGACTTATTTTTGCCTGTATCGGCGTTCTGTTTTAATGAAAGCCTAATTCGTGTAGGGACCTCTTTAAAATATGAAATAAATAAATTAACTGTTGTTAGCTTTTCGTACTTCGTTTATTACTAATCTCATGAAAAAAAAATAATAAATATAATTTTATAAGGTCAAAACAACTTTCACGAAAAAAATTTAAGATTCGAACGAAAAAACCGAAAGATTTTGAAATCTGAAGCCGCAGTGACAAATTTAATCTAATCTTTGAAAAAAAGAGAAAAAAAATATTTACCATCAAGGAAAGGTTCTTTGTACGAAGGCTTATGCTTGTTCTTGTGACTTTTTTTGGCCTTTGCTGACTTTGACTTTTTTTCTTTTGTCATATTGGTTATAAAAATTTTCGTTATAGTACACCTAGCGTCTGTGATGGCAAAAAGTGATTAAGGTTTACTGGCTAATTTCAGATACTAACAGTTAAGAGTTTTTTTTTATGGTGTACTCCGTTTCACACTCACGAACAGCTATACTTGGTATTCATTTGTGGCCATCTGTGGCCAAAATAGTAATTAAGTACGCATTACGTGCTTGCATCAGACTCGATTATCTCACATTAATAAAAATTTATATCACATTAATTTCGGTCAAGGTTATAAGATCTTAACGTTAATAATTAAAAAGCTAAGATTTTATTTTACCATTATTAGGGGTCGTCTAAAGCCAGGTGTGTTCACGTGACCAACAGCCAATCAAATAATAAATTTTGATTTACCCGGATCAGCC